ACTTCTACCAACAAGTAACAGTATAAAATTTGGGTGCATGATTAAAAATAAAGAAATCTGTGAGATTTAAGGTTTTGAGACCAATCCTGATAGTTTCATGAACAATTCTTGGAACTTGATGTATCTTAATCAACAAACCATCACGGCTCCTGTTGATATCTTTCAGTACTGATCATCATCATCATCAACAAGATTGTTAAAATTGGTTAATTAGGGTGAATCAGTGTGATTATTAGGGGAGTAATAAGTATCTGAACACATAAATCAGTCACGGAATATGTATGAATCGATAAAATTTTCTAGAATTGAATCTAGTACCGACAACATATTCTGTAAAATCTTTATGGGTTTATTTGATTTTTGTGTTCGTAGTTAAACTGTATGAGAAATTGGCAAGGGAATATTAATTTGTAATCAAATTGGTTGTCTATTGAGATATAGAATGAATTGCGTCTTTGCTTGTAATTTCATTACTCTGGTGAACTGTTTTGTTCTTTTGCTATAAATTTTCTGACTTATAATGAATGATTTTGTAGAAATGATCTGATGTGTTTGACTGAATTTGAATGAAAACGTGTAAGAGCAACTCCAACCAGACTCTTTATTTTTCACTAGCTAAAATACAAAAAAAAAAAGGCACTCTTTATTTTACCTAATTAGTTTAGCTATTGTATGTTCCAATCGTACTCTTTATTTTAACTAGTCATTCAAACTAACTAAACCAATTTTCAAAACAAAAAATGCTATATATATTACTATCTTTTTCATAAAATGCCACATACGCTCCAAACGCTAATATGGTTGCCAATGTGACATTTGCGATAATATTTTTCAAAAAAATCTTGGTAATAACAAAAATTGGTTCAACAGAAATTGGCATGGGGACATTAGGCCTATCAGAAATTGGCGTGGGAGACCTTAGGATGTTAGGTAATGACCTGACTGTGTATATCAAGCTCTCACACCTTCTCTCATCCTCATGTGCGATCCTTTCTTGCATGTGACTAAAACATAAATTAAATTGAACCAGGAGCACAAATAGACAGGAAACAAAGTGCACAAACAAATCAAAGTGCACAAACAAATGTAGTGGCAATTACACAAGCAAGGTTTAAAGTGATGTCTCATGGAACCAAAACTTTGGTATCATGTTTTTTTGGGTGAAACTTTGATATCATGTTAGGTAATCAATTGTCCCAAAAGCTTAAGCTATTAGAGGATGTCCCAAGAAAGTATATTAAACTCTTGCTTGCTTCATGTTTATTGTGCAGCTAACATAATTTTTTTTTTAATAATCATGTCAATGCCAAAATGCTCAATACATAGGAACACTACTGGAAATGGTCTTAACTCATGCACTAGTCAATCCTGTTGGCTCTTCATCTTAATTATGAACTGATAAAAAAAATTCCTAAACTTATTTATAGCACCCACTGAACTTATTTAAACCTTGACGATACACATTGCTTTATAGTGGACATCAAATACGGTATGTTCTTGAGATCAAAATTGTAGACAAGGTAGGATGATACTAAAATTCTTTTGTAACATACTTTGGTTTTTGCTCTCTCTCTCTCTCTCAATTTTTTTTCCCTCCCCATGTACTAAATCTTTACAGTCGATGTGCTTCCTTTATGGTAAATGACTTTGTTTCATTTTGGATTAAGAGACATTCTTCTGTTGGTTTGCTAGATAAAATACATGGTGCATTCTGTCTTATAATTCCTGATGAATTAGGCCACCAACTTCCTATTGCAGTCCCTATTTTAGATTAATCTATGCATACAAAGTTTCTACTTCTGAGTTCGGGTCCTGAAACTATTTGATATTTTTGTTTCTTTTCGTGAGTAGAAGGTTAATATGCTAAACAATAAAGATATACAATGATGCACAATGTATAATGTTTTCCACATTTCGATGTTAAGAGATTATCTCCGGGATCCCTTCCATGTAATAGAGCCTACCCACGTAGTGTTGAGTGATGACTACACTTACGAGGAACGGCCTATACAGATTGTAAACAGACGGATCAAGAAACTGAGGAACAAAGAGATCCCGCTAGTGAAAGTCGACTGGCAGAACCATGGTGGCATGTATGCCACTTGAGAAAGGGAAGATGACATGGCTAAAAGATATCCTGAACTATTTCCACTGAACCCTGTTTTCTTCCAGAATGAAGGTAACTCGAGTTTAGAGGACTAAACTCTTTATAAGGAGGGGAAACTGTAATAACCTTCACCACTGCTTACCGTTAAACATTGATTACCGTTAAACTGAACTGATTGTGACTGATAATTGAACTGATTAAAGTACTGAACTGACTGACTGAAAACTGGAACTGGATTGAATGAGTACATCTGTTTGAATTGCATTTTTATCTGTTGATTGATTATTTGATCTGTTTGTGTTTTGTGTTTAAACTGCTAATTGAAGGCCTTATCGGTGGCCGAATCCGAAATTGATTGATGTTTTATGATCGTCATGATTAATGTGATTTTTTGGTATATTTATCTGAAAGCTGTTAAGTATGATTAAATTAGATTAAACATTGATAAATTGCAATAGTTGCCGTAATTACCATTTTGCCACACTTAGTGGGCCACTACCTCACACACTTAGAGACTTGTATATGCTTGATCAAACCATTTCCTCAGCCCATTCCCTTTGTTCTTGCCGACCAAGAGAGGAGATAGGAGAGAATTGAGCTCATTTTGTTGAATTGCTTGGAATTGAAGTGTAAATTGTCAAATTGGACTCCTAAACCTTGAATACAAGACTAAGGTAGGAAACTCATCTTCTTCTTGTGGTTATTGAGCTAGTTCTTGCATGATTCATACTTCATTGTAGAACTAAGTCATGATTTGGTTCAAGAATGTGGAATTATAGCTTCATTTCATGCATGCATGTTTGAATTGTAGATGTTTGAGTTGTTTTCATGGCCAAAGGTTACATGCATGTTCATAATTATGTTTAAGTCCATGATTTCACCATGTTTTGAAAAGAATTGGCTCCTTAGAGCATCAAATTGGAGCTTCAAAATGATTTGAATTCGTGCATGTTTGCGTGTTCATATTGTTCATGAAATTGGTTTAAATTGAGTTTGAATTAAACACCCTTGGGCTTTGATTTCTTAAAATTGAGCTTTGAAACATGTTATTCTATGTGTTTATAAATGTTTTCCAGAAAATGGGAACCAAATCTAATCTTGGTAATAACAAAAATTGGTTCAACAGAAATTGGCATGGGGACATTAGGCCTATCAGAAATTGGTGTGGGAGACCTTAGGATGTTAGGTAATGACCTGACTATGTATATCAAGCTCTCACACCTTCTCTCATCCTCATGTGCGATCCTTTCTTGCATGTGACTAAAACATAAATTAAATTGAACCAGGAGCACAAATAGACAGGAAACAAAGTGCACAAACAAATGTAGTGGCAATTACACAAGCGAGGTTTAAAGTGATGTCTCATGGAACCAAAACTTTGGTATCATGTTTTTTTGGGTGAAACTTTGATATCATGTTAGGTAATCAATTGTCTCAAAAGCTTAAGCTATTAGAGGATGTCCCAAGAAAGTATATTAAACTCTTGCTTGCTTTATGTTTATTGTGCAGCTAACATAATTTTTTTTTAATAATCATGTCAATGCCAAAATGCTCAATACATAGGAACACTACTGGAAATGGTCTTAACTCATGCACTAGTCAATCCTGTTGGCTCTTCATCTTAATTATGAATTGATAAAAAAAATTCCTAAACTTATTTATAGCACCCACTGAACTTATTTAAACCTTGATGATACACATTGCTTTATAGTGGACATCAAATACGGTATGTTCTTGAGATCAAAATTGTAGACAAGGTAGGATGATACTAAAATTCTTTTGTAACATACTTTGGTTTTTGCTCTCTCTCTCTCTCTCAATTTTTTTTCCCTCCCCGTGTACTAAATCTTTACAGTCGATGTGCTTCCTTTATGGTAAATGACTTTGTTTCATTTTGGATTAAGAGACATTCTTCTGTTGGTTTGCTAGATAAAATACATGGTGCATTCTGTCTTATAATTCCTGATGAATTAGGCCACCAACTTCCTATTGCAGTCCCTATTTTAGATTAATCTATGCATACAAAGTTTCTACTTCTGAGTTCGGGTCCTGAAACTGTTTGATATTTTTGTTTCTTTTCGTGAGTAGAAGGTTAATATACTAAACAATAAAGATATACAATGATGCACAAAACATCCTCAGGAGTCACATGATGAAAAATGCATTGGGCAACAAATCTCATCATCGAATCATACAAAAGAAAACATAACAAACCAAAAGAAACTCTCTCACAACCCTGAGGCTATGTCAAAATTTAAAAGGCTTAAAAAACATACAAGACTTCTAAAAACTGAAGCCTCAAACTTTATTGTCTAATATATTAACTTCATTGTCTAAGATGAATATACAGTGTTGCTATTTTGAGCACTTATCTGTAAATAAATAAATAAAAAAATATGTGATTTTAGAATTACTGATTTTGCAGAACAAAATTGCATTGCTTTGACCCATAACTTCACATCTTATTTATCTTGAGTTTTGCCAGTTACGGTGCTAAACCCATAGGGCCGGGTTTGGGTCGTGACAATTAACTTCATTGTCTAAGATGAATATGCAGTGTTGCTATTTTGAGCACTTATCTGTAAATAAATAAATAAAAAAATATGTGATTTTAGAATTACTGATTTTGCAGAACAAAATTGCATTGCTTTGACCCATAACTTCACATCTTACTTATCTTGAGTTTTAGTTTACTAAAGTGACTTCTGTGATTGCTACAAACTTCTGTCCACCTAACCCTTCTCTATCTAATGACAATGGTGGGTGGTGCAACTCATAATTGATGTTCCTAATATTTAGTGCATTATGGTAAATCTGTGAGAAGTCACGTATTGGGAAAAATGCCAAAGCATGATGGTATATATAAGCTAATGCATTATGCAGTCAAACTTACCTCCCTTTGTAGAGCCTCATCAAGTTCTTGCTTATCATCAGGAGTGATATCTTTGGCGTATAATTGGGTTAAACAATTACGAATCCTGATCGAAAAAAATAAGGGATTGATCAAAGCAAATAAAAAACAATTCATAGCAACAAAGATTATAACACATTGACAACACAAATGAAAGATTACAAACTAATTAATGACAAACCTTCTGCGCTTTTGAAGCAAAGATCTGCGGACAAATTGAGTAGGGTGAGCAGTGAAGACCAGATCGACAGTTTGATTTTTCAGAGCATCAAAAACTTCTTCAGGAGATTTCTTCAGTTCCCCCATAAGTCTCTTGAGAGTTTCTTCAATGTCTGATTCAGTCATTGCCGAGTTCTCATCAGCAAAATCCCCCTTTTTCAACTTGATTCGTTGACGGCAAGCAATCTGAACCTCCTCAGTGAGGTTAGCCAACTTAAGCATGTGAGAGAATGACTTGGCAATGACAATAGAGTCGCCGTCGATCGGGAGAGAGAGAGACGGGCAAAAGAGATGAAAAGGTTTATGAATTTAATAATTGAAATTTATAAAATTTACCATTAATTTGAAGGGAAAAAAAATCAACATTTACTCTAACATGTTATTTCCCTGTTTTCTTTCAATTTCAAAAGAGGTAAGCAAAATTTACTCTTAGGCTCAGTTTGGTTAGATAGATAATACAGGAAAATGAATGGAAAAAAAATGGGGGAATGGAAAAAAAAAGGGGGGGAAACAAAGCGGGAATGAAAAAAAAAATTCGCTCACAAATGAAATTTAAACAACAAACTTAAATAACGTGTTTTTTTTTTTGTGACGGGGTTGCAATCGCCAAAAAAAAAATATTTTTCTAACTGTTTAGTTTCTTCCAATTAATCTATTCTGTTGTTTATTTGATTAATCCCGTTTTCAGTTCGTCTTAATCACCCAAGAGATCGGTCTGTGTTTATCCACCTGGTTTCAGTCACCCACTTTCGTTCCTTGTCCGGAGTAAGTCCTTAGGAATAGGCAGTGTAGGACATAAGGGTCTCCCGAATAAGGTCTGTACTCAAACCATTTTGGTCTGTGATAACATAACAAGAATAGGGTATGTATTAAGATATCTGTAAAACTCATTAATTAAACTGATTAACTAAATTAACTATATGGCTGGCAGTATTGGCAGACTGAGCAGATCCACCATTACTTAACCTTCCCAGTAATCGTTCCAAACGTACTAGTTTAGTTACCAATGATCAAACTACTGTCAAACCTATTGAAAAATTATTTACCAAATTAGCTACCGCTGATAATGCTTCACCATCTAAAGATAAAGGTCTTACTGTTTTAAATCAACAACCTAATATTGAACTTATTTCTCCCCAATCAGATATTGAAACCACTGATACTGAACTAAATCAATTAGCTCAACAATTTCAATCTTCGAATCTAAACAAAATTCATTATCCCAAAGTCAATCCTCACACTACTAAAAATTGGTATTCTCGGCCTACTCCTGTTGATCTTCAATTTGAAGAAACTAATCTTAATAATCAATTTTTTGTCTCTGCTAAAAAGTTATACGAATGGAATATTGATGGTCTTAGTGAAGATCAAATCCTCCAAAAATTAAATCATTTATCTATGGTCCTTAATAGTTATCTTAGTAATTATCCCCATTATACTTAACCTGAAATTGTTACATTAATTACTTCTGGTTTCACTGGTATGCTCAAATCTTGGTGGCAAAAATATTTAACCGAAGAACAACGAGAATCCGTTATTTATTCTAATCAAACTGACGATGATGGTTCACCTATTTTTGATGAAAGCATTGGATGTTGCCACCCTGATGGTATTAACTCCTTAATCTATACAACTGTTAGACATTTTATTGGTACTCCCACTAACATCTATTCTCGCATACATGATCAACTTAGTAATCTTACTTGTCCAACCTTAAGTGATTTTCGATGGTATAAAGATGTATTTACTTCTAGAGTTATGTTAAGAGAAGATTGTACTAAATCATTTTGGAAAGAAAAATTTATTAATGGATTGCCTAGTTTATTTGCTCATAAAATTAGAGATGTTCTTAGTCAACCTACTGGTGTTATTGAATATGATAATTTAACCTATGGAGATATAATTAGCACTATTCAAAAAGAAGGCTTAAAAATGTGTATTGATCTTAAACTTAGTCAAAAAGCCACCAAAGATAAATACAAAGCTAAATATGAATTAGGAAATTTCTGTGAACAATATGGTTTACCTCCTGTAGCACCCTCTCGGAGGAAATCACATAAATATTCTAAGCATAAATATAAATCCAAATATTCTAATAAATACAAAAAGAATTATTCACCTTCCAAGTCCAATGATAAATTTTATACTAAATCCAAAAAGAAATATTACAAAAAATCACATCCAAAATCTAAATCCACTAAACATATAACATGTTATAACTGTGGTCAAAAAGGTCATTATTCTAATAAATGTAAAGAGAAACAAAAATTAAAAGATAAGATTAATCAATTACAAATAAATGATGACTCTAAGAATCAAATATTTGAAATCTTTCAACTAAATCAATCTGTTAGTACTTCCTCTTTTGATAGTCCCGAAACTTCTTCTGATAATCATTCATCCAGTACTGATTCTGATGAGAATAATATAACATTAGGATGCAATGATGTCTGTTGCAAACCAGTTAAACAAATTACTGTTCTGACAAAATCAAATCAAGAAGAATCTGCATTAATAGAATTAATTAGCAAATTGGATGATCCTAGTTTAAAACAAAAATATATGGAAAAATTAAAATCTTTATTAATTCATTCAGACAATAAACCTAAACCTGATAAACCTATTATTAGTTTATCCAAAACTTTAGAATGATTCAAAAATAAAACTAAAGAAGTCACACTCAAGACTTACAATCTGAAATCAACCAAATTAAACAAACTATCCGAGATTTACAGACTAAAGATAAGAAATTAGAAGATGAAATTATTTCTCTAAAACTTAATCAAAGTTTTGATAATTTCCAACCCAATCCAAATACCTCTCCGCATGAATCCGAACATAATTCTGATTCTGATAATACTAATCCCGATAAACTCTTATTTGATAATCGATCTCAATCTAATAATCTTAAAGACAAACGATTAAATCTAATCAATAAAATCTATATGCAAAAATGGTACTCACCAATTAAAATTGTTATTAATGATTTTGAATTAGAATTAGTAGCTTTAATTGATATTGGTGTTGATTTAAATTGCATTCAAGAAGGACTACTTCCTACTAAATATTATGAAAAATGTCACGAAAATTTAACTTCTGCTAATGGTAGTCAAATGTATATTACCTATAAAATACCCAAAGTTCATGTCTGTCAAGATAATGTATGCTTCAAAACCTCATTTGTTTTAGTTAAAAACATGACTGATAAAATTATTTTAGGAACTCTATTTATACATTTACTTTATCCATTTACTACATCTGCTACCGGCATTACTACTCATGTTTTAGGACAACCTGTTACTTTTAAATTTTTATTTCCACCAGAAATGCTAGAATTAAAACTATTAAAAGATTGTTCTATTTCTCATACTATTAATCGCTTAACCAGACACATTAATTTTCTTAAAGAATAAATTAATTACAAACGAATTGACCAACAATTAACTCATCCAATTATTATTTCTCAGATTAATGATTTTAAATTAAAATTAGAGTCCACTGTTTGCTCAACTTTACCTACTGCATTTTGGCATAGGAAAAAGCATGTAGTTACATTGCCATATATTAAAAATTTTGATGAACGACAAATTCCTACTAAATCTAGACCTATTCAAATGAATCATGAATTACTTGAAATGTGTAAAAAAGAAATTAATGAACTATTACGAAATCGGATTATTAGTCTTAGTAAATCTCCATGGTCTTGTCCTGCTTTTTATATCAATAAAAATGCTGAATTAGAACGAGGTGTCCCTCGCTTAGTTATCAATTATAAACCATTAAATGCTATTTTCGAATGGATTCGATATCCTATTCCTAATAAAAAAGATTTAATCAAACGGCTTAGCCAAGCTGTTGTTTTTAGTAAATTTGATTTAAAAAGTGGTTTTTGGGAAATCCAAATCCACCCAAAAGATAGGTATAAAACTGCTTTTAATACACCCTTTGGTCAATATGAATGAAATGTCATGCCATTTTGGATCAAAAAATGCTCCTAGTGAATTTCAAAATATTATGAATGACATATTTAACCCATTTAGTCATTTTTCAATTATTTACATTGATGACATATTAATTTTTTCCAACTCAATTCATGACCATTGGAAACATTTAACTGCTTTCTATTACACAATTAAAAGTCATGGTTTAGTCCTATCTGCTCCTAAGATTAAGTTATTCCAAACCAAGGTCCGATTTTTAGGTTATGATATTCATCATAATACTATTCTTCCCATTAGTCGCTCTATCGAGTTTGCGTCTAAATTTCCTGATGAAATTCTTGATAAAACCCAATTACAAAGGTTTTTAGGATCACTTAATTACATTGCTGAATTTTATAAGGACCTTAGGAAAGTCTGCCAACCCTTGTTTGATAGGTTAAAGGATAATCCTGCTCCTTGGTCTTCTGTTCATACTGCCATTGTTCAACAAGTCAAACAATATGTTAAATCTCTTTCTTGTCTTGGTATTCCTACTGAGAATTCATTTAAAATTATTCAAACAGATGCTTCTGATATTGGTTATGGTGGCATTCTTCTTCAGAAAGTCACTCCTCAATCACCTGAACAAATTGTTCGTTATCATTCTAGTGTCTGGAATAAAGTACAATTAAATTATAGTACTATTAAAAAAGAAATTGTATCTACTGCTTTATGTATTCAAAAATTTCAAGATGATATTTTAAATCAAAAATTTTTACTACGTATTGATTGTAAATCTGCTAAATATGTTATTGAAAAAGATGTTCAAAATCTTGCTAGTAAACAAATTTTTGCCCGCTGGCAATCTATTTTAACTATTTTTGACTTTGATATTACCTATATACCTGGTTGCCAAAATTCCCTTCCTGATTTTCTTACCCTGGAATTTTTACAGGGGGTAAGGGATGAGTGCTACTCCACATATTGCCTATATTAAAACCCAAATTACCCATTACCAAACCCTGATCCATCAAGTTACTTTCCAAATCCAACGCCTCCAATTAGCCAGAAAAACTACTAAAAGAGCCCAATATATCAATTACCATCAAATTCAAGCTCGTCGCAATTTACTTACTGATTATCTTAACTGTTTCCACTATTACCAGAATTATTTAGACCTTCTTTCTGGTTGCTAATCATTGCTTCTTAATTCAACAGATGTCTCGCCCAAGGCTTCCTTCCAAGGCTTTGGTCCCATTCTCCAGTAAACCTAATCAACTTCTTGTTCCTCCTCCTTTGGAATCAATCACCCAATCTCACTCTCTTGAGATGGTTAATCGTTATCAAGTTCTTGGTAACATTTACCGAC